TAGTAGTAGTAGTAGTAGTAGTAGTAGTAGTAGTAGTAGTAGTAGTAGTAGTAGTAGTAGTAGTAGTAGTAGTAGTAGTAGTAGTAGTAGTAGTAGTAGTAGTAGTAGTAGTAGTAGTAGTAGTAGTAGTAGTAGTAGTAGTAGTAGTAGTAGTAGTAGTAGTAGTAGTAGTAGTAGTAATAATAATAATAATAATAAAGAAAGAGAAGAAGAAGAAGATGATGAGAACTTTGAGATGGAATATTAATGTAACGATTAAACAATGATAATAACAAATGTCAAGGTTAGAGGTTCCACTAATGGTATATCAAACAAGTATAGTATAAACTCTTATTATTGAATTGGAAACCACACACAAAGGAGGTTCCAATCAGATTATATATTGTTAACATGATTACATTAGTCATCTTATTCAATTAATGCTAATACTTGTAAATCTCGTCAAGCATTCATGATTATAACTTATGTTAACAACAAATCAAGTTCCTTTCATAGCTCAGGTGTCGGTTATACCATACATTATGGGCTATGAAAGTGCCAAGCATTTGTTGTACCAAGTGTTATATAACATAAATCAAGATTAGTCATTTAACAAGCAAAGTATTAAAGAGTGAACAAGATAGCAAATATAAAACATGTTAGTATCAAACATTAAAGTCCATATTAAGTTTACATTATACTTATTCTTACACCATTAGTGTAACCTTTTCACCTTGACATAATTAACTTAGCTAGACATAATGAAAGAAAGCAAAATAGATAAACAAAATAAGAACATAAAAGTTAACTAAGTAAAGGAAAGGAAATGAAAGGCATAAACTTAATATTAATGAAAACAAAGCATAAAAAATACAAAGAGAGAAAGGAAGAGCATGATCTTGATCTGGAAATCAAGATGCCTAAATGCATGGCAAATGCCTCCTTTTATAGGCCAAAAATGGGAACTATTGATTTGATGACTAATTGATAAGTGGGTGACCAACTTTTGACTTGGTGACAATCCTTATCTTCTCTTGTCTGCCCAAAACGTCATTGATAACGTCAAAATTGGAGCCAGTTGCAAACATGAAAGTTGTAGGCAATTGTCTCAGCTTTCTTGTGTAAAAAATTCAGCTCATTTGGACTTCTAGAACTCCAGATATGGCCAAAATACCGAACAGTGCTCGGGCTGGAAGACAGATTCGGGCTTCTTTGTTGTTGCTACAATTTGGACTTGATAATGGCCTTTTTAGATCTTGGGCTCCATATGAAAGTTGTAGGCCTATGTCTTACCTTTCCATCCATATAAATTGGACCTAAATCTGAGATCTGTAGCTCCAGATATGACCCAATTACCGAACAGTGTTCCGGTTTGGATTGCACCGACATCTCTTTTCTAATTTTGGCCATCTCTTTATCCTTTCAATTTCAGTTCTTAAATTCATAAATCAATCCTTTCATTTATCTAATAGGCCTGCATTTAAAATGAATATTTACCACAAATTAAAGGTATCTTAGGTTATTAGATATATTATTATAAAACATGTTTTAGTTAAGGAGTTATTGATACTTCAAGTGCAAAATGATGATATAAAACCATGATAAAAATGCACTTTTAAGTACTAATCAACCTACAAGTCCAATGTAATAATCATCCTCTCTTGACATACCTAAAAAAATGAGGTAATATGGATCTAGCAAACATGTCAAGTTTAAGATATTTGAACTTGGCATTAATCTAATTTTAAAGTAACGTGGATTTATCAAATATGCTAGTTTCAGGACACTTGGACTTGATCGTTCAACAAATCCAAGGCACTTAAACTTGACAATTAATTAAATTCAAGGTAATAACTATCCTTCCTTGGCACACTTTAAGTAAATAACTATTTTCTCTTGACATACCTAAAAGAATTATTACATTTTTCATTAGCACTCCTAAAAAAATAATCATTCTTTTTTGACATGTCTAAGGTGGCTAACAACAAATAATATATTTCAATTACAAATTTGGTAACTTAATCCCAAATATTAGCAAGATAATATATTACAATGATAACAAGGTTATCATACAACTTTTTCAAAATATGAAAAATTATTGTGGACAATTACAAAAAAAATAAAAATAATTCACCAATTTACTGTGTTTGTTTCTAATTGATGAAATATGTAAGCAAAAGTTTAATTTTTATTTTATTCGAAATATTTTTATGTACAGATTCATTTGAAAATAGTTCAAACTACAATTTCTGCAGCAGGTGGCGGCCAGTAATTGACTAAACTGAAAAAAAAAACAAAAAAAGAAAAAAAGAAATTCTAGTTCCCACCAGTAGAAAAGAAATAATAAAAAGATAAGATGGTTTTCAATTTCTTGATGCTTTAGAACCTAATATTTGATTTGAAGAACAAGTATAATTTGGTGTTTGAGTCTACTGATTAGTATTTGAACGAAAGAAATCGATGAAAATACTGAATTTGCTACACCTTCATGCGCATCCCTGAAGCAACACAGGCCAGGCCAGCATTTCAGTTTGAATAGAAATAAATCTGATATATCAGAGTTACTTCTTGTAATGACCGAGTATTACATTTACTCATAATTTACCCCAATATATACAGAAGCTTGAGAGTTTTATATTACATAACATTATCTATATCAAGATTTTCCTCCCCATTACCACATACCTCACTGAAACAGCTCTTCCAGACTGGTCTTGATAGGGCAATGATACCTTGTGTTTCAGCATGCTCAGGCTTTCTGCTAGCTTGTTTGCTTGCCTTTACATTTCAAATCTTCTACTTCTCACCTATATCTCCGGACTTGCTTGAACTGCCTCCCGCTTCAGCTCTTCCCACAAACAAGCACTTACAGGCAAGCAGTTGAACATGATTCGTTCTCAACTTGCGATAATTTCAAGCTTTCTACTAATAGCGCACACGCCGATTTCTTTTTTTATTTTCCCTGTAGGAAGTGACTAAACTTGGAGAAGGATTTCTAGATCGCCCAGAGGATGTTGTCGTGGATAGAGATGGTATCCTCTACACAGCTGTTAGAGATGGGTGGATCAAAAGAATGCATAAGAACGGATCCTGGGAGAATTGGAAGAAGATAGACAGTGATGGTTTACTTGGGATTGCAACTTCGAAGGAAGGTGGTCTTATTGTTTGTGATGCTGAAAAGGTAAGATAATTCCGAAACAAGCACTTGTAGTTGAGACTTGGTGATAGTAAGGAAGATGAGCAAAAACAAAACAGAAGAACCCCAGAAACCAGAAAATGAAAATAAATTATGGTTGGTTAACAAAGCAACTTTAGGTTACTAGTTATAATGGTAGGGACAGTAACATCAGCTAGCTAGTTCGTCGCACTAATTAAGGAATTGTTATGATTTCAGGGTTTGCTTAAGGTTAGTGAAGATGGAGTGGTGGTTCTCGCAACACATACTAATGGTGGATCCAAAATAAGGTAATATTTATAGAATCCAATTCCATGTTGCACCTTCTTATTAAGAAACACATTTACCAATTCTGCCAGTGAGTTTGTGGGGGTAAACCCTGCACTCCTTGACCATTTTGTAGGCCATCGAAAGACAAGGTGACTGGTAGGCCTTCAATTGAACATCAAAAAATAGAAAATTTTCTTAAAGGACTTGGTTAGTTTCGATACCATGATCACTGCGGAGAATCCTTTTATATAATGATTATTTTGTACAACCTCTGTGTCTAAAGTAATCTACACAATCAATACCGAATATACAAGGAAAGCAGATAATTACAATAAAGTAGAATGAAGAAGTGGTGGGATTTGCTGCTATTTGTCATGCTGATTTGCAGCTACATTAACACCCCCCGCAAGCGAATGGGTGGTTCAGTTACCATGAGCTTGTCGTATAGAGAGCAAATCCGAGAGGAGGAAAGACCTTTGGCGAAGAGGTCAGCTAACTGATCAATGATGGGAATGAAACAAATGGAAATATCTCGGTTTTGAACCTTCTCACGTATAAAATGAACATCAACTTCAACATGCCCGGTGCGAGCATCAAACACTATATTTGAAGCATGAGAGATAGCCCCAAGATTATCGCAATGTATAATAGGAGGAAAAGATAATGAGATACGTAGATCTTTCATAACCATTCGAATCTAGTATACTTTAGCTATGGTCGTTGCAAGAGCATGATATTTAGCCTTTATTCTTGAACTGGAAACAACAAATTGCTGAGAAAGACTCCATAGCCGGTAGTATATCTGTGATCATCAGGATCACCTGCCCAAACAGAGTTTGTAAAAGCATGTATGCCAAAGAGAAACACTTGTATAGTACAACCCATGATCTATAGTGCCCTTCAAGTTGTGTAGAAAATGTTGAGTGGGAGGAGAATGTAGATGTTGACATAACTGATTCACAAAGTAGATAATTTTTGGACGAGTTGTCAAAGAATTATCTTAATTCAATTAGAGTTTTGATGATCAAGTGGTCATGAGTTTAAATCCCACCACCTCCATTTATTTAATAAAAATTAAGTATAAGATAATGTATAAGTTTCAAGCCCAAAGAGGTTTTCACTTGAGCGGGTGTGTTAGAGAATAATATAAATTATATCATAAGACTTCACTTAATAACTTAAGCTATTAAGTTAAGATGGTTATTTGACATGATATGATTTATATTATTCTCTAACACACCCCCTCAAATGAAAACCCTTTGGACTTGAAGATATTGGGTTGAGATAGTTATTTGACATGATATGATTTATATTATTCTCTAACACACCTCTTCAAATGAAAACCCTTCGGGCTTGAAGATATGATTTATATTATTCTCTAATACACCCTCTCATGTGAAAACTCTTTGGGCTTGAAACTTGTACAGGTCCACATTACCTTGTATTTAATTTTTATTAAATAAATAGGGATGGTGAGTTTCGAACTCGTGACCGCTTGGTCATCAAGACTCTAATATCATGTCAAAGAACTATTTCAACCCAAAAATTTAAACTATTAGATAAAATTTCAAAATATAATTTATATTATTCTCTAACTACTCAAAACAATATTGGAAAGCCCCTTTAATTTGGCGATACTCAGTTATGTTTTCAAGAGAATCCCTTGAGGTGGAAGAAATTTTCTCGCGTGCAACACATAGAACAATGTAGGGTGTGGCTCCGAGCATGATGTAGTACATCAAGCATGTACTTACTTTGCAGAAGATGGAGACCATATGAATCCCAAAACACTTGGATATCGAGAGAAAAATTTAGAAGACCCCAATTCTTCAATGCAAACTCTGTGTGAAGTTTATTAAGGAGGAAATAAAAGAATCACTAGAGCCCGTGATTAATAAGTCATCAACATAAATTAAGATATAAATGAAAGCACTACCATGTTGATAAGTAAAAAGTGAGTGGTCACCTGAGACCCAATAAAGTCAAGCTCTATAAGAGATTGAGATAAGCGTTTGAACCAAGCTCGAAGATCTTAAGAGTACATAAAAGCCTTGTTGAGTTTACACACATAATCAGGAAAATTAGGATCAACAGAGCCACAAGGTTGTTCAATAAAGACTTCTTCATCAATGGTGCTAAGAAGAAAGGCATTAGAAATATCCAATTGGCGTATAGGCCAACTAAAGTGACAATGGCTAAGACAAGGCAAACCATGGCAGGTTTGGTGACAGGGATGAATATAGTCTCTGAATAATCAATATCGTAGACTTGTTCAAAGCCTTTGGCAACCAACCTAGCCTTACCACGATCAAGGCTCCCATACTCTTTTTGTTTCATTTTGTATACCTATTTAGTATCAATAACATGTTCGTCAAGAGGACAAGGAAAAAGATCCCAGGTATTGTTTTGAAGCAATGCAACATATTCTTATTGCATGACAGCTCTCCACTCTTTAGAAATTATGGCTTGAGAAAAGGTTTTTGGTTCATATAAAGAGATATTGGTGGTAAGGGCAAGAGGTGTAGTCGGGAAAGGATTTTAGACGTAGAGAACCAGTTTGAGAACGGGTGATTATTGTTGGTGGGAGAAACCACTTGTAGTGGCTTTGAAACACTTGGAGGGGATAAAACACACTGTTTTATTTCAAGAACAACAAGCTTACAACATAAATAAAAGCTTACAATGCACACCCTCTCTTTCTCTATTTCTTTCTAGTGTTTCTCTCAAATCTCTCCACATATTATAACATAAACTCAGCTATCTATTTATACACGAATTCAAAACAAGAAAATTCAACCTTCAAGTGTGAAGGCGGCTGTGGCCGATGGTGTGAAAGCGGCTGGCGGCTGGTGGCTAGCAGCTGGACGGTTAGGCGGTGACAGCTGGTGGTTGTCTTTCTTGACCTTCTAGATTGAGTTTACTTCAACAAATCTCCCCCTTAAACTCAATCGAGGGATGTCATTCCAAGCATGAATTTCAATCTGATAAATACTTCTCTCTTCAATGGCTTGGTAAAGATATCTGCAACTTGATCATCTGTCTTGCAGGATATCAGCTCGACTTCTTTATTCTTTACATGCTCTCGGATAAAGTGATGTTGTGTATCCATATGTTTCCTTCTTTCATGATACACCGGGTTCTTTGCTAATGCAATCGCTGATCAATTATCGATATAAATCTCTGTAGGATTTTCTTGAGGAAATCCCAAAAACTTCAACAAATTCCTTAACCATATTAAATGGCATATAGTTGAGTTGGCAGCAACATACTCAGCTTCATAGCTTGACAACGTGACAATCGATTACTTCTTGGATGATCATGTGAAAGATGTATCTCCCATGAAAAATACAAACCCTGTTGTACTTTTTCTTTCATCCAGATCTCTACCCCAATCACTATCCGAGTAGCCAGTAAGATTGAAATTTGTACTTAAGGTATAAAACATACCTTCATTTATTGTGCCTTTGATGTAGCGAAGAATTCTCTTGGCTGCATTCAAATGAGACTGGTCTGGCTTCTCTATATATCTGCTGATCAGTCCGACTCCGTAGAGTATATCCGGTCTGGTACATGTCAAGTACCTTAAACTTCCTACTAAGCTTTTGAAGTAAGTTGGATCAACATTTCCAACTTTACTTTTCCTTAATTCCACTCCATTCTCAACTGGAGTTGATACTAAATTGCAGCTTTCCATCTTGAATCTTTCAAAAATATCTTTGGCATAACCGCTTTGGGATATAAAAATCCCTTCTTCTTTCTGCACCACTTCTAAGCCAAGAAAATGTGCCACCAGACCAATGTCTGTCATCTCAAACTCTTGTACCATGCTTTTCTTGAAGTCTTTGAACATGGTAGGATTGTTGCTGGTGAATATCAAGTCATCAACATATAGGCACACAAATAATATGTTGCCATCTGCTTCTTTCTTCACATAAATTGCGTGTTCATATGGACATTTTTCAATTCCATTATCTTGAAAATACCTGTCAATTCTGGTATTCCAAGCACGCGGAGCTTGCTTCAAACCGTAGAGGGCTTTCTTCAACTTGTATACTTTGCCTTCATTTTCATCATCAATGTATCCAAGTGGTTGTTCAACATAGATCTCTTCTTCTAGGAAGCCATTCAGAAATGCTGACTTCACATCAAGTTGATAGATCTTCCATCTATGTTGTGCTGCTAGTGAGATCATCAATCTGATTGTCTCTAGCCGGGCTACTGGAGCAAACACTTCTCCATAGTCAATGCCTTCTCTCTGTTTGTAGCCTTTCGCCACTAATCTTGCTTTGTATCTTTGCACTTCTCCTTTTGCATTCTTCTTTGTCTTATAGACCCATTTGACACCTATTGCTTTCTTGTTTTCTGGTAGATAAGTCAGCTTCCAGGTATCATTCTTCTCAATGGCATGTATTTCTTCATCCATTGCTTTTATCCACTTCTCTTCTGTGATAGCTTCATTGAAGCTAAGTGGGTCACTATCTGCAAAGAAACAAAATAGAGTTGTATCTTCCATTACTTGAGTGGCGTCATACAGCTCTTCTAGATTTCTCATCCTTCTTGGTCCTTCTGATGAGGATGCTGATGATGATGGTATTGATGATGATTCTGGCGTGTTTCTCCTGTTGAATACAGGAAATCTGTGTACCGGACTTTGTGGCTCATCTTCTGGTACTATTGGACCTTCTGCAAGTACTGTTGGTACTTCTTCATCTTCAAGGATCAAATCAGTGCTGATCCATTTAACTGCTTCTTGGTCATCATTCCATTGCCAAGTTTTATCTTCTTCAAAGATAACATCTCTGCTCATAATTACCTTCTTGGTGATGGGATTATACAGCTTGTATCCCATTCTTCTCTCACCATATCCGACAAAGATGCATTTCTCACTTTTATCATCGAGTTTGGTCCTTCTTGCATCTGGGATCTTTGCATATGCCACACAACCAAAGACTCGAAGATGAGTAACACTTGGTTTGTGACCACTCCATGCTTCTTGTGGAGTGATAGCTTGCAAACTTCT